TTTATCTTGAAGCTCATTAGTTCAGGCTTCCTTTACTTCTTAGCTCCTCCTTTGTCCTTTCAAGGTATTGTCCATTGTGGAGATCTTAGTGTTAACCTTCTGAATTTCAAATCACAGGTTTTGTATTATTTTAAAACTTGTGTTTATTTTGTCTTTTCTTGAGTGTTTCCCTGAGTGCCCCTTAAGTGTATATTGTGTTCTCCTTACTTTCCTCAATCTTTGCATCAACCCTTTGAAGATACCTAATTACCATTTAAAAAATTTTTTTTCAGTTAGTTCCAGTGTCTTTTCTTCATCAGAATCCATTTCTGGTCCTGCATCTTGGTCATTTGTTTGAGCCGTTCTCTCTTGTTTCTTCGTGTGAACTCAAATTGTTTTCTCTGGGACATTGGGGGGTTGTGGCATTTGTACAAACAAACAGCGTCATCATTGCATTTGTGGGTTCTGCACTGTGGCCCTGGCAAGTCTTCCCACCCTCTCTGCTCTGCTGGCCTCTCACTCTTCTGTTGAGTCCACTGGAGCGGTGATGTTCAGGGGCCAGGTGTTGGCATTTCAGTTCAAATGAATTAGAACCAAAAGAGTTGGTTGTGTTCCTTGGTTGCATGAGTCACATACTCAGTGCTAAGTAGACATGTGGACTTCTGGTGTGGCACTGTAGGATCAGCACTGGACTGAACCAGAAGGTCGGCAGTTCAAACCAACCAGCTGCTCCTCGGAAACCCTACACAGGGTCTCTGTGAGCCAAAATCGACTCAACAGCACTTAACAACAATAAGTAGGCACGTGGAGCTAGAACCTGCAGAAACAGAGTGTCTGTTTTCACAGAAAGTTCTTTGGCTAGTGCAATTCTACAGGCTGCCTTATGGGGGCGCTGTGAGTCTGAAGTTAGGCAACAGCAGTGGTTTATCTAAGAGTTAGGTGAGACTGCATGAAACAGAAAATTATTTAGGTGTAGATCCAGAAAAGTTGTTGTATTTAGCCCCGTGCATGCTGATACTGTGTGGTATGGGTGGGGTGGAAAGAGAATCTCCGTGTGGAGCTGAGAAGACAGAATGGAGGTGTGTGGGGTGGGGGGCAGTGTCTGTGTGAGGCAGGTCAGGGGAAGCCATGGCAGCAGGTCATTTGGAAGCATGCCGACCACGCTGGGCTTGTTGGAGGCCAGTGGACAGTCACTGGTGGGCACGAAGCAGGTCGTGTGCTGCAAACAGATGTTGGAAATGGCATCCAGGGTTGAGGGATGCCGGCCGACAGGAGCACACCGTGAGCCAGCGAAGGCCACTGTGAGGAGGGTAGGAGCACACCGTGAGCCAGCGAAGGCCACTGTGAGGAGGGTAGATGTAGACGTGGAGCTTGGATGTGGGCCGGGGGGGGTCTGGTGCTCGGAGGGCGTCCCGGGAGAGGACGCTCGTTTCCTGAACTCAGGCTGCGGATGAGTGATTGCTTCTTCTCGAATGTCCGTGTGGGTGATCCAGGGAGGAGGGGGAACTTGTTAAATGTGGATTTTGTTTCAGTAATTCTGGGAGGGGCTGGAGGTTCTACATCCTGAACAGGCACCTAATGTATGCTGGGAGTAATAAGTAATAAAAATAAGGGTACATCACTCAATCCACAATAAAAATCTTAAAAAAATAATAATAATAAGGGTACAAATTAAATTTAGAGTGTGCTGGTACTGTAGAATAAGCACTGGGCTGCTAACCAAAAGGTCAGAGGTTCAAGTCCACCAGCCACTCATCAGAAACCCTGGTCAGGGTTGCTGTAAGTCAGAACTGACTTGGAGACACTCAACAACAGTGAAAGCAAGGACACATGACAGAGGAGACGCTAGCATAAAGATTCCACATTAGGGACCAAGAAGTGAGAGGCCAGGACTCAGCTTGGCGGGGAAGCAGAGTGAGAAGGAATGGGACCAGAGGTGGAGAGAATTCCCAAGGTCAGGACTGCTGGGGCCATGGTGTGAGAATTGGGGATGAGGGGGAATGTTAAGGGGAAGAAAGAAGTCTTAACTGTAGAAGGACGGGACAACTGTCACTGTTCGGTGCCATCAAGTGGGTTCCATCTCCTAGTGAGTCTGTGTGCAGAGACGGAAACGTAACCCAGCCCTGCACGGCCCCCACCGCTGTTAGGGTTCTGCCTGCCAATCCTGTATCGTAATAAACATGGTGTGAATGACGTGAAATCAGTATTCTAAGCCCAATAGAATATTTTAATTGCATATAAGAACTGAATGAACTATGATGAACTCCTTGACAAAAGTAGACAAGCTTCACCACGGGAATGTGAAATGAAGCCAGAGTTACGTAGGTGAGCCCACAGCTTCAGCCCCGGCCGGACCCCTGACTGGGGAGGATGTCAGGGTCCAGCCGGGCCAGGCCTGGCTCTTCCTCCTGCTGTGGGATAAGTGGGGGCCTCTATCTGAGAGCAGTTTCCAGAAAGAGGAGACCCCTGGAGCTGCAGGCAGGAGCTGGATGCTCTTCTGCGCTCAGGGTGGAACATGGCCTGAGCCTGGAGGAAACCCACCCCCTGGCCCTCTCTGCTCACTGCACACTGTCTCCGCCCGCCCTTCTTCCGGTCCAGGTCTCCATTGTGCTGCGGGGAGAATCATCCAGTCCTGAACTGGTGTGCTGGGGACCTGGGACAACCAGCCTGCACCTCCCTACGTCACAGGCCTGGTGTGTGGACCAAACCGTGTTCATCTGCTGCCAAGCTGCCCAGGGCTCTGCGTTCACTCCCGTCCCTCTCCCTGAAGTAGCTGCTTGGCTTAGAGACGACATTCACACAGACGTCTGGAAGCTGGAGCGCAGAGATGGTGAGTTCTACAGAGAACGGGGTTCTTCTTACCATAAGAGGGTGAGGCTGAAGAGAAGGCAGCCGTGGAGGTCCAGGGTCTGAGTGGCCAGGTGCCCTGCTGCAGTCCCTTGGGGCCCTTGCTCTGTCTGCACACATAGCTCTTCCAGACTCGGCTGCCTTGGGCTCACTTTCTCCTGTGACTCTGAGAGCTGGTGCATGGTCGCATCCCTCCCCTGAGCTCCGGCTCAGAGCCTGGAGGGTGGTGAGTTCCTTGTCTCATCTCTCTGCAGTTTTCCCTCCGTGTTGTTGAGTGTTCCCATGGGCCTTATGGAAGGAGGTGAGCTTGTTCACAAGGAAGTGATGATCTGAATTAGGACATCTCTTGTCATTTCTGCTCTTTTCTGAGCCTTCTAGCATATAAAGCGGGTTATGGCTGCAGTTGGCCACCAACTGTGGAAAGGATGTCAGTGAGACAGGAATGAATCTCTAAGAAACTGAATGTAGTTGTTGAAGGGATACGGCTAAACGCAAGCCCTCGAGTAGGCCTTGGTAGCACCCGTGCCCTCGCACTGATGGCTCACGCTGTGTCCGTGTACACATTGGAGTACACAGCACCTGCTGATGTAGAATGTGTGGGATGTTCTAGGACTCGGTGGTCGTTGAGGACGTGACCATGGTCTTCAGCCAGGAAGAGTGGACCCTTCTAGATCTTGCTCAGCGGAAACTCTACAAAGATGTGATGATGGAAACCTACAGAAACTTGGCCTCCGTCGGTAAGCAGGCCATCTTTGTTTTGTTTCATTCTTTAAGTGAACACAAGTGTTTTCTCATCAACTTGGCTCCACATTTGAGCTTAGGACTGGAAATTACATCTGAAATAAAACAGGCCTGGTCACTTTGTCTGTTGTTGTTAAGCACCATGGAGTAGGCTCCGACCCATAGCGACCCTGTATCGGGTTTCTGAGGAGCAGCTTGAACCACCAACCTTGCGGAGCAAACTGACTTTGCGGTCCAGCTCATTAACCCCCAACGTCTTAGCGCTCACGTGTCCTGCCTGCCCCTTGAATCTAGAACTCTGTGTAATAAGATGAGCTGTTTATTTCTCTTATGATTTAAAGCCCTGAGGTTCTGTCATGCATTGGCTTTAGGAGTGACTTTGGTCTACTGGGAGGTGTGGTCTAGTTCCCGGTAAAGTTTACTGTATTAATCAACAGTTTCACAGGATGGTTTGCAAATACACTCACAGTGCCCTCTTCAGAGACCGGAGAGCAGAGGCCTGACTCTACAGCATCCAGTGCTCTGCACGTCTCCCCTCACGGTTGCACCACGCAAGGGCAGTGGAGATAAGACCCAGGGTTATTGTGTTTCGGAACACCAGGAAAGCAAGAATTTAAAAAAAACAACAAAAAAACCCTCCAAATGCAAACAAATTTACATTGGAATCAGTCAGCTAGAAAAAGTCAGATTCACGGACAACCTGAGCTAACGTTTCCAGGCGATGATGGCTCACACCTGTGATTATGAGGCCCTTTTCCTCCCTCTTTCACGTCACATAGTGTTGTGTCCCGTCACTTTCTGCACAGTTCTCTGGGTTACGTCACCACTCGCTGTCCTCACAGAAGGACTGTTTAACCATTTCTAAACCGCTCCAGCAGCAGAATGTGGTTTTCCCTTTGTCTCTCCCTAATAACTCCTTTCCTTTCTGTTGCATATTGTGAACCTGAACCTCAATGATTGCATCAGTCTCTCAAAACCTGGATGACGAAGAAAAGGTGCCCAGTGACCACACTGAGCCTACAATGATGCAGTTCATGAACGATAGCGCCTGGTCCTCCACGTTCGGAGAACTCTCCAGATCTCACGGCGACGACGATCAGCCGAAAACCCACAGGAGGCATTTGAGGTGAGTGTCATTTATACCAGAGACAGTCCTAAGGTGTCACGACACCCAGTGTTGTTAGAGACCACCGAGTTGGTTTCAACTCATGCAACAGAATGAAGCGTTGCCCGTCCTGCACCATCCACACAGTTGTGTGTGTGAGCCCATTGTTGCATTCACTGTGTCAGTTTGTCTTGTTGAGGGTCCACCCTCCACATTACCAAGCATGGTGTCCTTCTCCAAGGTCTGGTCCTCCTGACAGCATGTCCAAAGTACAGGAGACTGCGTCCTGCCATCCTCACTTGTAAGGAACGTTCTGACTGGACTTCTTCCAGGACAGATCTGTTTGTTCTTCTGGTAACCCACGGTACTTCCTGTATTCATCACCGACACCTTGACTCAGATCCAGTCTGCCTTATTCAGTGTCCAGTATTCACATGCGCTTGAAGTCACTGAAATGCCATGGCTTGGGTCAGGTACATCCTCAGACGTGAAACATCTTTGATCTTTGAGTTCTTGACCGGGAGCCTTGATTATGAAATCAAGTAAAATGAAACCGTTGACAATGTCCATCTTAGCTTTTTGTTGTTGCAGTTGTAGAGGTTTTCTTTCCTTTACATGAGTTGTAATCTCTACTGAAGACTAGTGTCTTGGCTCTTCATCAGTAAGGGCTTCAAGTCCTCTCTGCTTTCAGGAAGCAAGCTTGTGTCATCTGCATCTCACAGGTTGTTAATGAGTCTTCCAGCAGGCCTAACGTCACATTCGTCATATATTCCAATTTCCCAGATTATTTTTGCCATCATATATATGCTGACCATACATAATGCTTAGCAGAGGGTCAGTGATAAAGAGGACATCCCTTCACAAGATGGGTTGGCACAGTGGTTTCAACAGTGAGCTCAAATATAGTCCCAGTTATGAACGTGGCGTCAGACCAGTGTTTCATTTGGTAATCACCGAGCTGCTGTGAGTTGGAAATGGCTCAACAGAACCAACAACAGTATATATAAACCTAGTAATGTTCACATTTTTTAGAGTGTTATTGTTGTTGTTAGGTGCCGTCAAGTCATTACCGACTCATAGCGACCCTGTGCAAAACAGAACGAAACACTGCCTGGTCCTGGGCCAACCTCACTATTTTTGCCACACTTGAGCCCATTGATGCTGCCACTTGGCCAGTCCACTCGCCAGGGGTCTTCCTCTTTTGCTTTGACCGTTACCAAACATTCTCCAGCAACTGGTCCCTCCTGACAATATGTCCAAAGTATGAGAGACAAAGTTTGGCCATCCTGGCCTCCAAGAAGCACTGTAGCTGTACTTCTAAACAACACAGATCTCTAGGTTCTTTTGGCAGCCCATGGTACTTTTCAATATTCTCCTCCAACACCATAACTCAAGTCCATCAATTCGTCTATGATCTTCCTTATTCACTGGCCAGCTTTCACATGCATATGAGGTTATTGAGAATACCATGGCTTGGATCAGGCGCACCTTAGTCCTCAAGCTGACATCTCTGCTCTTCAATACTTTAAAAAGGTCTTGGGCAGCAGATTTGCCTAATGCAATACGTCGTTGATTTCTTGACTGCTCCTTCCATGAGTGTTGATAGTTGATCCAAGAAGAATGAAGTCCTTGACAACTTCAATCTTTTCTCCATTGATAAGAATATTGTTTATTGGTCCAGTGGTGAGGATTTTTGTTTTCTTGACATTGAGATGTAATCCATATTGAAGGCTGTGCTCTTTGATCTTCATCAGTAAATGTTTTAAGTCCTCTTCACTTTCAGCGATCAAGGTTGTATCATCTGCATATCGCAGGTTGTTAATGAGTCTTCCTCCAATCCTGATGCCACGTTTTTCTTCATAGAACCCAGCTTCTCGGGTAATTTGCTCAGCATACAGGTTGAATAAGTATGGTGAAAGAATATAATCTTGTTGCACATCTGTCTTAATTTTAAACCGTTCAGTGTTCCCATGTTCTGTTCAAACAACTGCCTCTTGGTCCAGGTACAGATTCCTCATGAGCACAATTAAGTGTTTTCATTGATGTGAGCCACACACTGGATATTTGAAATACATTCCACCTAGACACAATTCTCAGTCACATATTTTAGGAAATTGGTGATGGTAATAGTAGTATTTCAGCTAGAGGACTTAACGTATGAAACATGAGCCAAGTCCAAACTGAAACCATGCCCATTCACTGTGTTTGGTAATGTGAAACGGGAGGGATTTCTTTCCAACAGTGTGCTGTTTGTTTTTAGCAGAAGTCATACAGCAGAGAACCTCTGTGAAAGGAACGAAGGCAGTCAGCGTGAGGAAACCTTCCGCCGGATCCCAGATCCGACTGAGCTACAAAGAAATCCTCCAGAAGGAAATCCTCGTGAACGCTGTGAGTGTGGGAAGTCCTTCACAGATGACTCGTCACGTAAGCCTCAGAGCAGACATCACACTGGGTGCAGTGCCTGTCCGTGTAAGGAGTGTGGAGAAGCCAGCAGTCCTCACCTAACCACCCCTATGAGAACTCTCAATGGAAAGAGATCCCATAAATGTAAGGTATGTGGGAAGGCCTTTGTTTGTATCTCAATGCCTAAGACTTCAGTGACAACGCTCGCTGGTGAGAAACGCTATGAATGTAACGAATGTGGGAAACATTTCTGTAGTTTCTCACCCTTCTGGACACATGTGAAAAGTCATAAGCATAAATGTAAAGGCTGTTGTAAAACCTGTAGTCATCTTTTATCCCTTAACTTACATAAAAAATTTTTTAACAGAAGTAAGTCTTATGAATGTAAGAAATGTGGGAAAGCCTTTAGTGAGGCCTCATCCCTCAGGACACATAAAAGAACTCACAAGGGAGAGAAGCCTTATAAATGTAAGGAATGTGGGAAAGCCTTCAGGTGTTCCTCAAACCTCACTACACACATAAGGACTCACAGTGGGGAGAGGCCTTATGACTGCAAGGAGTGTGGGAAAGCCTTCACGCAGCTCTCAGCCCTCACCACACACATAAGGACTCACACTGGGGAGAGGCCTTATGAATGTAAGGAATGTGAGAAAACCTTTAGTCGAGCTTCATCCCTCACTAAACACATAAGGACTCACAGTCGAGAGAGGCCTTATGAATGTAAGGAATGTGGGAAAGCCTTCAGTCACGCCTCGTCCCTCACGACACACATAAGGACTCACACCGGAGAGAGGCCCTATGAATGTAAGCAGTGTGGGAAAGCTTTTATGTGGTCTTCAAACCTTAACAGACATTTGAGAACTCACAGTGGAGAGAAACCTTACGAATGTAAAGAATGTGGGAAAGCCTTTAGTCAGACCTCCAACCTCATTCGCCATGTGAGAGCTCACAGCGGAGGTGCTACGCTGTGTCAGAAGTGGGACGTCTCCTTCTTGCTGCTATAATTTCAAACAGCAGCTTTCCCAAAGACAAGGGTCGGAGAGCACCGGTGATTAACACAGCAGCACTCATTCAAAGAAGGGCTCATTAGAGCTACATGGTGCTGGTGGCAGAAATGACCACTACACTACGACAGTGTCCCCGTCAGCGTGTGTTACTGTCTCAGTCCAAGCTCAGTTTTGCTCTTAGTAAAGACCTTTGGCTATTACAAACAAGGTTGCAAGGAATAGTCTTGGGCCAATGTGGTTTTATACTTTTCCCCCAAGACTGTTATTACCTATCGTCACCCTTTAGATCTGGAACTGAACTCTCCCCCTTAGCTCATTTTTCAACTGAACAGTATATCTATAAGATGAACAGAAACACTAGGCTGGTACACAACCCTTAGAATGATCAATCATTTGAGATCAAAAGGGCAGTATTTACCAAAGTTCAGAAGGGTTAGGTGGAGAGAAGGAGGAGCGGACACAGGAACCGCAGGAAGGGAGCCGGATAAGTGACGACGTTACGAGGAGGGATCGCAGTGAGAGGACACAAAATATGTCTCAGTTGTTGGATGTAAAATCTGTTGATCCGCTTTGCGAATCTTCACTCAATTCCCAATAAAACGTTTTAGAAAAGTGTTTTGTTTCCATAGTTATCATATTTCCTTCCTTTCGTTACCATTTTAAAGTCAACATTTTGCCCATTATAATCAGTAAGTTTCTCAGAGGGCAGTACTTTTAGACTGCAGATACTCGGTTTTTCATTGTACTTTGGCATACTCATTTTTGTAGCCTTTGATAATTATTACCTATGATTATTATTACTGTGTTGTGTACCAAAGTTTCTGTCTCAGTCATTTCTTCTATATTTATTTATTTGAACTCTGCAAGGAATAACTAACTTTTGTGGTGAAGGGTTGGGTAATAGTAGAAATTGGGGGTTAGGATTAGGTCTGTGGCTAGGTCTAGGTAGGCCTAGGACTCCGTTTAGTGTTAGTGTGAGGGTTATAGTGAAGACTAGGGTTAGTGGTAGGGGTTGGGGTTGGGCTAGGGCTAGGAGTAAGTCTTGGTCTTGTTTTTAGGGTTACAGTTAGGTTTGTTTTTATCTTTTCCTTGAAATCGACTTGATTTCCCCCTTTTTCTTTATGGGGTTAGTTTTTGTTGTTACTGTAACTGTTGCTCTGGTTCTCTGTTTTCAGTCATGTAGGTCAGTTTTACTTTGAATAATTCTATATCTGGATGGAGTTTCATATATGTTAGTGTCTGGTTGTCTGCTGTGTGGGTTCTCTATCCAGAGAATTCCTTTTATAGTACTTTTTTGTAAGGTTAGCCTCATTCTTTTGTCTGTCTGAAAATGACTGAATTTTACCATAATATTTGATGGACAATTGTGCTGGGTGTATAATTCTTGGTTGGCAGTTTATATCCATTTATATACTTGACATATGTAAGAGTTTCATTATATATGTGCCACATATAAAAGTTTTATATCTGTTATTCCATTGTCTTGCTGCGTGGTTTCTGCTCAGAAATCAGAGCTTAGTCTTAACTAGTTTTCTCTTTGTAGGTTGTTAAGTGCCATCAAGTCAGTTCTGACTCATAGCGACCCTGTATGGCTTTCCAAGTTGCAGCTGGTGAGTTTGAACTGCTGACCTTGCAGTTCAATCCGACCACGTGATCCAGTGTTTAGCACAGAGGTGGTCTTAGGATTCTTCCCTTGTCTTTGGCTTTGAAATGTTTGATCATAATATGTCCTGATGGGTTTCTTTGAGGACCTTTCGTGTTTGGAGTTCATTCAGCTTCTTGAATGGCTGTCTCCTCTCGTCTCTGATGATGTTAGAGTTAGAGAAATTTTCTTCCAGCAACTCTTAGAAGATGTTCTCTCTCTCTTGGTAATGATGTATTTATTTTATCTCTTCCTGTTTTGGAATTCCAGTCACACATTAGCTATTCCTCTGATGACATCACATGTAAATTTTAGGCTTTCTTCAGATTTTTTTTGTGTATGTGTGCTTTTTTCCAATTGTTCTTCTAGCAAATGAATATTGATTTTTCTTCCAGCTTAATGATTGGACCGTCTGCTTCTCTGCCCTTCAGTGTATGATCTGTTTCTGAAGTCTTAGTATTAATTGTCTGATTTTCTAATTGCTGTTTTTGTCTTGTTCCCATTTTCTCATTTATTTTGTCAGTTTGTTTGCTGAACTCTTCTGGGTTTTCCTTGATTTTTATCTGCAGTTTTCTCAGTCTCCTGAAGGTGCATAAATAGCATACTCTTGAATTCCGTATCAGATATTTCTGGTATTATATGTTCTGACGGTATGTTGGTCATTTGTTTCAGGCATTCTGCCTTGTTTCTTCGTGGAAGCTGAAATTGTCTGTTTTCTGAGGCATCATGTGTTGAATTTATTTGATGATGCATACTGATTTTTGCTCATCACCTGTCTCCTGATGGATGTGGTAGAGACAGGAAGTGTGAACACATTTCTCTGTTCATGGTTTATGTAGCATAGTTTAGGATGGATTCATGCACTTCCAGAATTGTGCGCTCTGCCCAGCGCCTGACCCCAGGCAGCGCAGAGACTGCTCAGGAGAGAAGACACTGCTAGGTTTGGTGGGACGGAGGGGACTGGCCACCCCTGCTACTGGGGAGGCATGGGAATAAGGGAGAATTATGCCCCCTGCAAACCAATGTGTACAGCCACACTGGGCCAGCCTGTAGCCCAATTTTTCTTTCCTCTCCCTGCTCCTATTCCATCGGCACTCCTGTCTCGCCCTCTGAAGCTCAGGGTTCCAAGATCACCACCTGTATCGAGTTCACTTACTCCCCCACATCTTTGTTTCAGACAGGCGCCTCAGTGCTTCTGCCTTCTCAGCTATTTTGCCACAGAAGATGCAAGGAATAGCTTTCCCTTTTCTCCTCATTATCTTGTTTACACCACGGTAAGCTAGTCCATAGTCCTTGTTTTTTTCTTCCTTGCTCAGGTATCACATATTTGATTATTAGGCGCTCCATTAAATAGGTTACTGCCAATGTTTGAGGCTTATCTTGTCTTTTCCCTTCCTGAACCCTGGAATTAGACTTTTTTCCTCAAACGCTGCTTCCTTGTAGTAGAGAACGATTTAGAAACAAAGGTCTGAGTGTCCTTTGGCTTGTGAGGTCTGACCTTGCCCTGGATGGCTAGAAAGAACTTAAATGAGGGGCAGGAACCTGAGATGTTCACGTGATGCAGTTGCCATGTGAGGTGGGGTTTCTTAACATATGCACAGAGGAAGTAGCTGCACTCATTAAGCGCCATCTAACCCTACAACTGATGTCTAAACTTGGGTCGTACGTGAGGGTTGGAAAGGGTGTAGAACTGACAGACTTTTGTACACGTGATGTCAGGAAGAACCCAACACATGGTTTGTGATGAGAGTGAATTAAACAATGAATACACCTAGAGGTCGTCGGTCAAGGTCTTCCTCAATTTCCTGCCTTTCCTAACAGAGGTGTCTGTTTCCACAGCCATTCACCTCGCTGTCTCCATTAGCTCTGGCTCCCCTACCTGTATTGATCCATCTCACCATCAGCCCTACCCTCTCTGTTGTTGTTAAATGCCACCAAGTTAGGTCCAGCTCTTTGCCCTTCATGTCAAATCAGGAGCCTCTTCTGACTGTGTTTCTGAACTTTTCACAGTCTTCATGTGTAGCCTTTGAGAAGGTGCTATAAGTTACCCACGCTCTTGGCTTCATTCACCAACCCGGTGAACTCTTATGTGGCACAGCTCCAGCAGAAATCTCTTTGCCTGGCATACACTCCCAATAGCCTGTGGTCGTTAAAGGAGGCTCCAAAGAGTCGATTTTGTCATAATTGTGCTCCTCAGCTGCTGCGGTGTTGCCAGCAGAATGGTGGTGGTTTTTTAAGGCAACAATCCTAATTGTGGCATTCTCGTGCCTAACCACATCACGTGTCTGCAACACATTTCCCTTCATTTTACATCAAGACTCCTCTGGAAGGCCCCCCACTTCTAGGAATCCCAACTGCCCTTTTTCAGTACTATCCTGGGAGTCTTCTTTGACCCCTAGTTTAGCAGCGTGGGTTACGCATTGTCTGACCATCAGTAAGCCGCCTTTGTATCGAGCTTACGTTTGCTTGACCCAGCTGCTCTCTGGGCCTGTCGCACACAAGGCCTCAAACACTTGCCATAAAGCTGGGAGGGCTGAGCGAATTACTTTGACGCAGCATCAGGTGTTTCTTGTACCAACAACACAGGGAGCAGGGCTTGTCACAGAGCAGGTGGTCTTCCCATGACCGGGGTGAATGCTAAGTGAAATGAGAGGAGAGCGGTTCTTCACGCGGTAGCCACTAGATGTCTCTCTCAGAAATAGGGTGTCTTTTCTGTCTTCTCTGTCTCTTTCGTGTGGTGCGCTCATCTGCACCACATTCAGGAATAATTTCAGGGGCATGGATCAGAGTTTAAGTTTAAAGCTGTCTTTTGGGGACAGCCATCATCTTTAAATGTTATATTCATACAGCCAACATCCTGCTTGCTAAATCTCCCCTCATCAAATGATCTCGGCCTCCTAGATATACAAAGAATAAATACAAGCCCTTTCCCACCTGACACTCTTAAAAAAATAATCATATATTCAGATATATTCTCTAGGTCTTATACGCTGTCGGCTAAATGTCCCCATTTCTGAGCCTGTAGACGTTTGTCCTCCTGCATCTTCAGGTTTCTTTCGTCACTTTTGGTGGACAATGTCCTTGACAAATGAAAGCTAGTATTTTAAATTAGGATGGCTAGTGGTGGTTATGTGCCATGGAGTCGGTTCCGACTCAGAGCAACCGTGTACAGGGTTTCGGAGGCTGAGAGCCTCATCTTTCTCCTACGGAACAGCTGGTAGTTTCGAACTCCTGACCTTGAGGTTAGCAGCCCGATCCGTAACCACTACGCTACCAGAGCTCCTTTAAAATTAGGATCTGCTCATTCAGTAGTACAGTCATCACACAGTGTTGCTGTGTAGACAACAGTCGGAGC